CTCATATTAATTCGTAAAGTCACCAGTCCAATCCTTTTTATGCATTCAGCATTTTCGGGCGCAAAGCTGTACCAGATTGTCCGCGCTCCGACCAGAAACTTCCAGCGTCAACATTTACATATCCCATAAATATTCCCTTTGTACAAGTAGTCGCTAACAATCGTCCAGAAGGAAAAATAAACATTTTCGCCTGGGAAGTAGAAAGCCCGTCTTCCCATTTGTCTTTCCTGGGAAGAAACAGCGCGAAAATCTTGGCGCGTCCAATTATGCAGGCGGCGGGATATTTTTTTGTCGTGTCGTCGTAGAATGTGACGGGATTACACTTTGTCATCTTTCTAGGAACAGCCGAAAATCTTTATTTATATTGGACTTATCCGCGACCGTGCGAATCCTTAACCGGGATTGGCTGTTTACCTTCAACAGAGCCGGAGCGTTCTGTTCAATTAGGTCTTTGTCATGAAACCTTGGATGGGTTGAACATATTACGATCGAAGAAAGAAGCTAAACCCAAACATATTCGCACATACTTCACTTGATCGGACTCACGTTACATGGCAGGCAAAGCTGCATCACAGTACTCGTATAGTAGATTCACACTGGCTAATATTTGTAAGACAAGTGGATTTTCCGAGTACGCAGAGCACCACAGGTTCTGGCAGACAGGCCATCAATATACGAGGTCTGTAAAACGATACTGGCAACGTAGCGTTCGATCTGGCAACACTGGAGGTGCGGGACTTGGAAGGGAGATGGGGGAACACGCGAGCCGCCTCCAGTACAAGTTTGTACTCGCTCGAGTTATTTGGTTGTCCGTAGGGTTTTGTCTGTGTTCTAAAAATGACTGACATCAATTTTGAGCAACAACGCTGTGCTCTCAGGTTTTGCTTCTGACTTGCATACAGTTCACCGGAACCTCTTGATAAATTTTAGCACGAATACGGAGATAGTATTTTGTCAAAGCCCCAGGTTTTTCGGAGGTTTAAGGCAATTTCAGAAAAAATATAGTCGATTGAAGATGAACCACGAAGCGGAAGACATTCATCTCCAAGAACCGATGAAAATACCAACAGAATAGAGCGTTCAGATTGTCGGTTGCCAGCACTATCAATAAACGAGTTTTTGAACAGTAAAAGCATGCCTGTGGCTCCTCAACCTTGAACGCCTCCTTGAGCCCTCGTGACTTTTTTCTCTTCCCGAAGTTGAAAAATCACCTCAAGCGAACTCATCTTGGTACAGTCGAAACATTCAAACGGCAGTAACTTCCAGCTGAAGGCTATAGCAATATGATAGTTCCAGCTCTGCTATGAGGAGGGGAAGAACCGTTTTCAGCGCTGTACGGGTTCAGGACGTTATTTTGAGGGTGATAATATAAGATTGTAAATGTTTAAAGTTTTTTTAAGTCAGTCTCGTTACTTAATTTACAGCTGTTGACGCGATCGGGTCAGCTAGAAGCACCGTCAAACACAGAGGTCCAGGTACATTGTTCAATGTTCAAGTGCTTCACTACATTATCAATCAAATAGGTTCTGTGCGTGGATGATTTTGTGTCTGAAATAACCTCAGCAAAGAAGCTACTAGGTCCTCTATTCCTATAGTTCGGAAGTTACTGCTCGGATTCTGATACAATTTTGATAAATGCACAGGAACAAGTGAGAGGGGAAAATATGAAGATGTGAGCAAACTTGATCACATTGTCTATCGAGTGACTGATTGTTTTTTGACAGTCAGAAAGTTCATGGGGACACAACACCTAAAAATGCGAAAACTTCTTATTTGACGGTTTATATATACCTTTGAGGCTGTAGAGTATTAGTTTAGGGTTTAGGTTTCTTAGGGTTATAGTTACAGTTTACAGGGGACGACAAAGAAATAAGTGAATGAAAAGAGTGTGTGGGGAGTTATCAAGAAGACTTTTCACACGAACCTCGTCAAATTGTTGTGCTTTCTTTTAATAAAACTGAGTTATTATTCAAAAAGGGGTCCTCAGGGTTAGGGAATTACTTTATTCCAAGAACCTAGGTATATATGACCTCGCGTTAAGGTCCTTACATCAAAGGACTTAATCGTATTAAGAGAAGAGATCATTTTACCTCCTACGCCATTGGCGAGGAAGTGTCGTAATCGCGAAAAATTTCGAAAATGAGATATTACATTTTTTGATGTTATATGACATATACATCATGAAAAATCACGTCACCCATTTTCGGCTGACTGTCTATTCTTTTATCCTTGACCCCGTTATAACTTAGAAAAGGTAAATAAATGAAAATCGTACAAACCTTGATTTTAGACATTTCTGGGGCTAAGCAGAATTTTTCTCCAGCTTCAAAATTGTACATAAAAGCGTGATGAATATGCAAATTTGTATGAGCCACTTTGACTAATTTGATGCATTTAATTTTTTGTTGTTCATGTTCGTAGGTGATTTTTTCTCAGAGGGTCCCAAACATAATCCTTTATGAACTGCTGACACCGTTGCTTAGGAAGAGCCGAGTTAACCAACGTTTTGGGCGTCCATCATAAGTTCAGTTAAGTTTAAGTCAGTACATAAATCCATGTTTTGTTGACATCGAGCAGTCTTGGAACATTTTCCAACGAAATGTAGTTCGCTCCTGTTCGAGGAAAATCTTACATTTAGTTTAAAAGTAGTAGTAAATGCGTCTGTCAGATAACAAGAGATTTACAGAACAATAAATGCGAAAAGGGGTTGGAATAAAGACGTAAACACTTTCTTCGAATTAATTCGCGGTTGTCTCCCTAGATAAGTGCGGCATTCTTCATGGATAATTCTGCTTCTAAGACTAAGTGAAGTCATCTTGGTTAAGCATTCGCAGTTATATTAGTAGATTTCCTTTTGCAACTGAACCACTCACCGCACAAGTGATTCTTCTCAGATGTCAAAAGGAAAGGACAGGTGAGCATTTAATCTCACAATCACGGAACTTGTATCTAGAAGTCGGGTTTCAGCAGGGATTATATGAAACATTTTTATTAACGGTGCATTATGTATTCAAATGTTTGTAAAATCTTCAACCAAAAATTCACCAAGCCCCAAAAAATATATAAACACAACCAACAAATAATCCCCCCAACCATCCAATCAAGTGAGTAAAAAAATTCTCTAAAGCACGTGCTCCAGGGGGAGGGAGGAAGTAGGGAGCAAAAAACAAATAGAACGCACTGACATGTCAGGCGCTGTAAAAATATGGAAACATTCCTATGTTACCTTTCAACATTTTTTGTGTATCTGGGTCGTCCAACGCTTCAAAAGGGATCGGTGTTTACAAAACCAAGCCTTCTTTTTCAAAACCTTTTTAATTTTCCGAACATTATAAAGCGTAGGCGAAAAGTAGTAGACTTCATGAAAATTCTAAAAGAATCCGGGATATAAAAATTTGAAAATAGTTCAAACAAATGTCGCTAGAGCAGAACAAAATAAAAAATACTCAGTAAACTATACAAGAAAGGGAGAGGGACTGACTTTTTTTCATTCAAGTGTAATTACAATTTTATATTGTCACTCTGAAAATAACTACCTTCTGAAGCCACACAGCACTGGAGACGGATCTTCCACTCCTCAAGCAGTGCTGGAATTCCGATACTGGAATAACCTTCACCTAGTCGGTTACAGCCGTTTGAATGTTTTCGAATTTTCCAAAATGAGTTCTCTTGAGGTGATTTTTCAACTTCAGGAAAAGAAAGCAGTCACAAGCACTCAAGTCTGGTGAATAAGGAGGTTTAAACCTCCAAAAACCTGGGCTCCTGACAAGATACTGTCTCCGTGGGCCTACTGAAGTTAGCAAGAGCCTGATAGCACGCCGATACTCGAAATTGATGTGACTCATTCTCAGAACAGAATGGAAAAAACTGTTTAAAAGAACTGCTACGGACAACGAAATGACTCGAGCGAGTTCAAACCTGTACTGAAAGCAGATCACATGTTCCCCTACAAGCCCGACGCCTGCAGTGTTGCCAAATCTAACGTTACGCTGCCTGTCTCATCACTTAATTTACAGACCTCCCAGTACATCATCTGAAGACTGTCCCATTAAGACACATGTAACTGGCCAAGTTGGTGTTCCGGCAAAGACTGGAACGGATCTGAAATCCCTTTTTCTGGCACAATAAGTCGCATAAAATGCAATTTATTCCCCCCAGACTGTACAAATATGCTTTCCGGACATTACATTAAATTTCCCTAACCCCACTATAAACACTAAGATTATTATTTCTGGTCGAAATCGAGGCGGCCGTCTGGCCATAGACGTTCATTGCGACGCAGCACCTCAAACTCCCTGTTTTGCAATAATAAAATGATATTCTTTTTGATACTGGAACATGAAGTGTGTCGATAATTTTTATGAAAAATACCGATGAAGTTACGTTTCCAATACAAGTTACAAGGACAAGTACCTGGTTGGCACATGTGCGGCAATATGTTGCAGGCATTTGGCACATGTCGCGCTAAGTGTTTGTGCTCCCGAAGAAATCTACATCGACACATTAATTATGTGATACGTCAAATACTGAATAAATTCACATTTGGTGCTTTCTAGAGAAAAAAGGCCCCGAAATACACCCCATAGGTTTTTATTGAGTGACTTACCTTTTCAAAATTATTGTTTTAACATGTGACAGTGATAGTAACGGAAAACGGACCTAACGCAACATACGAGGGATGTCTTTTAAGTTTTGCATATAGAAACATAGTAGGCTGCGCGGATGAAACGTCAGTACTGAATCTTAACCCCACTCTTTAGTAAACTTAAATTCAAAGTTTCACAACAATACGTGCAGTGTTCTCATTACAGTGAATTTTTAAGTGTCACCAAGTCATTAGAAAAATGAAACTCAACCGAGAACATTTTCGCGCCATAATTTATTACAACTTTCAGAGACAATTATCGCCTTGCTGAGTTACTGTCTGTTTTCGGCAACGAAGCGCCACATTACTCGACAATTTTCCGTTGGTGTGGGGAATTTAAACGTGGACGGGTGAGTCTTAGCGACGATTCCAGGGTGGGTGCACCAAAAACGGCAGTAACCCAGGAAAACGTCGATGCTGTACGCAAACTCATCATTGAAGATAGACATGTGACATATCGCGAGATTGAGGCGTCCTTGAAGATCTCAAAGATCTCAATTCAAAAAATTGTACATGAAGAATTAGGAGTACGAAAATTAGTTTCTCGTTGGATACCCCACCTGTTGACTGAAGAGCAGAAAGCAGCCAGGGTTAATTGGTGTCAAAAAACGCTTGACCGTTTCAATTCCGGAAACTCAAAAAATGTGTACAGCATTGTTAGTGGTGATCGTGGATTTACTGTTATGAACCAGAAGATAAACGACAGTCGGCTGTTTGGGTGTTCCAAGGTGAAGAAAAGCCAACAAAAATCATCCATTCTCGAAGTGTTTCGAAAAAGATGGTCGCGACATTTGTGTCAAAAGCGGATCATATTGCAACAATTCCTCTTAATGAGCAAAGAACTGTTACTGCGGATTGGTATACCACCATTTGTTTACCAAAAGTCATCATCGAGCTTCGAAAAATCAACCCCGAAAGAAGAATCATCCTCCACCAAGACAATGCAAGCTCGCACACAGCCCAAAAAACAAGGAAATATTTAACGGAAGAAAACGTGGAATTATTGAACCATCCTCCATATAGTCCCAATCTAAGTCCTAACGATTTCTTTACTTTCCCGAAAATTAAAAACAGACTGCGTGGTTAAAGGTTCCAGTCACCAGAAGTTGCAGTTGACGCATTCAAAAATGCCATTTTGGATCTGCTAGCAAACGAGTGGAATAAGTGCTTCGAAAATTGGTTCGAGCGCATGCAGATGTGTATTAATCTTCGTGGAGAATACTTCGAAAAACAACAAGTCATTTAAAACTACCTATCTGATTTTTGAGAGACTATCGCCTCTGTGTCAGCATTTTCTTCGGAAACATTTTACAAACTCAAGTTTACACATCCGTAAAACTGCAGTCTGGATGTGGAAGAATTTGCAACAATCAAAAACTTCTCTTTGGCCAGTAAACTTTGCTGTTGTAAAAAAACTTTATGACATGCCGTTAAGCCTCCGGGAATTTGGAGATGGACGTCCATGCATGGCGCATTGCTCTCTTTTTACGCTAGTGGCGGAACTGCCAGAAAAACTAATAGAAATATAGCCGGAACGCTGTATTTTACGTGCTTTTTCATGATCAACTAGTTGCTGACGATTTTTTTGTTCGGATTTGCGACATAATTGCGCGGATGGATACGTCATGTGCACACTAGATTGAAACTCATTTTTTGTTGGAATAATAAAAGTGATGCGTTCGTACATTCATTTGTCAAATGCTCATTACCTCAAATTGGCGTTGTTGATCCGATTGTCCTAGATCGCATGTGGATTTTTTTATCCCTATTCGTCCCCTCTTCAAATTCTACCACAAGGGGCTTCTGTTTACCTAAGTAGAGATCTTACAACTTCTGCATGCCTCGTGGTATTGAACTAGATAATTGAGTGACATATTCCATCCGAAGATAGCAAACCTAACGCTATATTCCGACGTCCAAGGAATCATTAGAAATCAAACTAGAAGCCGTAGTTTCATCTTTAGTAACTTCTTAAAGCTGTTTCTCTATTTACTACAGGGTGCGGCAGAGAGGATGGACGGTTTTAAAAAAATCATAAAATAGTTCATTATTACTCGAAAACAAATTTATTGATGGAATCAGGTTCACAAGGAAATAGCACTTGAGACAGTCAAGTGTGGAAAATCACATCAGGCATGTGGTGGCCGAAATCGTTGATGCAGTGCTGGAGGCGTTCTTGGAAGTTCGCGTAGACTCTAGCCAACATCGCTCTCTCAACTTAGGCGACTTCAACGCGAATTTTGCCCTTCAATTTGTCCAGAGTTCGGGCTTATGACTTGTGAAAGTGGGCTTCGTCACTCATAAACAAAATGAGGTTCTCATTTTGATCGTTCAGTGCTTCCACCTCACGTGTGAAGTTCATTCGTTGTGCATAATCTCCGGGCTGTAACTGTTGCACAATGGCCAATTTGTAGGGCTGAAAGCAGAGATCCATATGCAAAATTCGCCTTAACGAACGATCACTAAGGCGAAGTGCAGCAGCATGTTTCCGGGCAGATCGAGTCGGACTGCGAAGAAAGACCTGTCGAACGCGTTCAACATTTTCAGAAGTTCGAACTGTTCGCGGCGCTCCTCGTGGTCTTCTGTTGATCAGTTCACCACGCCTGCGAAGAGATTCAACCCAACGAAGGATGGTGTTTCGAGAGGGAACAGCTCTATTCCGATGAATGTTGAAGTGGCGACGAAACTCAGGCTGTACGACGATGACTGACTCATTATTTCGGACGAAACAATCATAGGCGAAAACGAGGTGCTCCACCGTCAAAGGCTCCATAACGGCAACTGGTAAAATAATGCTAGGATCTCACGAGTCAAACAGCATCCACCCCACCTCTCTCGTAGACGGAGGCGGAGAGTACTACCCATCCCAAAAACTTCCGTCCTCTCTGCCGCACCCTGTATAATAAGCTAATCAAAGATCCTGCCTTAACATCACATCGATCTGTCGCAGTGTTATTTTGCTTTAATTATCCCACATATCCGATATATCTTACTGACGACCTCTAAGATAGTGCGAGCATACTCTGCGAGTGGTCGAGAGGAAATCATGGACAGAAAGTATTTAATAGGTTTTGACCTATTTATATTTTGTCTAAAAATTTCTATTCAAGTTGAATGCCAGTCTTATGGTTCTTTTGCAACAAATAAGAGACGAGCATCAGTACCTCTAAAATATTTGTAATACACGATTTACTTTTACCTACAATAGGGTATTTGTTTAGAAACAACCGACTTTTATTTACGATATAAGCGTAAAAACAATTTTCACGAAGCGTCGAACGACAAAAGAAACTCTCAACAACAAGGTGAGCTTCCTGAGACAATAGCTCCTTAGATTACAACAGAGGCGTACCTACCTATCTATTCCAGTAAGGAGTAGAAGACCTTTGAGAGACATACAGCAATCAGCTATTGATAAAGAAAATCTCGTAAAAATAAATAAGAAACAAAAAAGCCTAACGTGTTGACGCAACCATAAATGTATACAAGTTGGAGACAGTCTAATAACTGCTAAAGATCTACATAACCTCAGATGAACCTAGCACAGCTTATTGGAAAAAATGGCAGAAGATGCACTGAGTAGCAGCATTAAAGAAAATAAAAAGCTAAAATAAGACATTACAATATCACAGGAAGAAATCAAGGTTTGTAAAGAAATTTTAGAAGAGACTAGACATATTGTTAAAGTCTGGAAAATTATCTATGAAACAGATGATGGTGATGAGCAAGATGCTAAAGATAATTATTAATTACATTAGATTATAAGTAGCATCACTTGAATATACAGGGTGGCCAAACACGTGACGTCATAAAAAAAAATTAGATTCCCCACATCGAGAGGAACCCAAATCACCCCCATATATATGGTCCGATTTTGTTTAGTTTAGGAGTTATGATTTTTTTTCGGATTTTTCGAGAATTTTTGAGTTCTGTGTTTATTTTTACCATAACTTCGTTAATAATTGTGATAAATGCCTGCTTTTTTCACGATTATGTAGCTAAGACCTAAGGCTTAACTATCATATAATCATTCAAGTCATGTAACTAATACCACTTTTTAATTTTTTTCAAAATCTTCGAACATAACAAAAAAGTAAAAAAGTGCAACAACTTTGAACGTTTATAAAAAATTGAAAAAACATGTTCTTACTATTCGTAAGTATCTTAAAAACTTCCTTACGGTATCAGCTATTTACCGTAAAAATTTCATCAACCTAGCTTTACTACATGCTACCGTAATTGTGGCTCAAATAGAACCGAACCCAAAATTGGATAACACTCTGCTCAATAGAAATTGTTAGTTTCGGAAAAAAAATTTGCAAAAACCACAAAAACACGTTTGATTTTTACTGAACAGCAGATTATTATTCATTTATGTTATTTACAAGAGGTTTTCAAAATGTCTGCCTCTAACAGAAATGCACAGTGTACACCTACGTATGAAATTTTGTTTTAAATCTCTAAATGCTTGTGTGTTGTTTTTCAACACATGTGTCGCTTCTTGAATTTTGTTCCTCAATGAATTTTCATTTGCACATTCTTGGGCGAATGTTATGTCTTTAAAATATCCCCAAACAAAAAAATCAGTGGGGTTGAGGTCAGGGGAGCGTGGAGGCCATCGTATCGGTCCGTTTCGTCCGATCCATCTGTCTGGGAACCTTTCGTTTAAGTAGTTTCGCACGATCGTTGCGTTGTGGCATGGTGCACCATCATTCTGGAACACCATGTTCCGTCTGGCTTCCAGGCTTGAATCTTCCAGCAATAATCGTAGGCTATTTTCAAGGAAGCTTTTGTAGGCTACCGAATCCAACCTTGACGGCAGTTCAAATGGACCGATAAATTCCATATTGAATATTCCTGACCACATGTTCACACTAAAACGGTGTTGAAATGTCGACGGCCTTGACTGGTGGGGGTTTTCAACAGCCCAAGTATGTAAATTATGGATATTGAATATCCCTGTTCTTTCAAAACGTGACTCGTCAGTCCATAAAATTTTATCAAAAAAATCGGGATCCTCTCGTTGTCTTCGCAGCATTGTCTCGCAGAAATCCACTCTTAACTGGTAATCTGAAGGCATCAACGCTTGAACTCTTTGAACATGATAGGCATGATAACCTTCTTCATGAAGAATATTTTGTATCGATGTTCGTGGTATTCTAAGGTTTTGTGCCATAGATCTCGTACTCGTTGAGGGATTCCGGCTAATTTCTTCAAGTACTACTTCTCTGCGATCCGGATCAGCTGTAGGATATCCTTCATTGCTTCCTCGTCCTGGAATGCGGCCTGCCATGAAAGTGTTATGTGTGTTAATAAAAACACGGTGGTCTGGGTAATGCTCAGGTCGTGGTCCGCCTCGGCGTATAAGTTGTTCCCGGTACAGCTGAGCTGCTAAAGCGTCGTTGCCTTGAGCAACGCCATAATAATAATGCATCGACATTTCAACACCGTTTTAGTGTGAACATGTGGTCAGGAATATTCAATATGGAATTTATCAGTCCATTTGAACTGCCGTCAAGGTTGGATTCGGTAGCCTACAAAAGCTTCCTTGAAAATAGCCTACCATTATTGCTGGAAGATTCAAGCCTGGAAGCCAGACGGAACATGGTGTTCCAGAATGATGGTGCACCATGCCACAACGCAACGATCGTGCGAAACTACTTAAACGAAAGGTTCCCTCCCAGACAGATGGATCGGACGAAACGGACCGATACGATGGCCTCCACGCTCCCCTGACCTCAACCCCATTGATTTTTTTGTTTGGGGATATTTTAAAGACATAACATTCGCCCAAGAATGTGCAAATGAAAATTCATTGAGGAACAAAATTCAAGAAGCGACACATGTGTTGAAAAACAACACACAAGCATTTAGAGATTTAAAACAAAATTTCATACGTAGGTGTACACTGTGCATTTCTGTTAGAGGCAGACATTTTGAAAACCTCTTGTAAATAACATAAATGAATAATAATCTGCCGTTCAGTAAAAATCAAACGTGTTTTTGTGGTTTTTGCAAATTTTTTTCCGAAACTAACAATTTCTATTGAGCAGAGGGTTATCCAATTTTGGGTTCGGTTCTATTTGAGCCACAATTACGGTAGCATGTAGTAAAGCTAGGTTGATGAAATTTTTACGGTAAATAGCTGATACCGTAAGGAAGTTTTTAAGATACTTACGAATAGTAAGAACATGTTTTTTCAATTTTTTATAAACGTTCAAAGTTGTTGCACTTTTTTACTTTTTT